CAATTTGGATGAAATTGGGGCCCTTAAAGCGCTCTATTTTGCAATGGAGTGTAGGCATCGTTTTTCTACATGGCGATGGGCTTCAGGACTATTTTCAGAGGTGATCATCTTCGGATGGAAATTTCTCCTAAAAGTCATCAGTTAACCCCCCAAATATTGAAAAGAAAATGAAAGATGATGAAATAAGCTTTAATTTGATGTGTGTCTCGAACACCTTGGAGAGTTGTGAGTATTTTACCCGAATTTTTGAAGTGTGAGCATTTACCATTGGGGTCTATGGAAGTTTATTTATTGGTCTGCTACCATTTAGGCACAGACCGAGCGCAACCCAGACTTGGCCAAGTCTAATTACCACGTAGACTTGGCCAAGTCTTGGTTGCGCTCGATGCTGCGGGTAGGAAAGTTTTCCAGTTCGTTCGTGACGTCATAGGCGTAGAATTTTCTTGGTCAACAGAGGGCGCTCTCAGCGCGCCAGCATTGTCACATATTTTTGTTAAGTTTGTAGAAATCCGTCAAAGGTTCCTTTGATTTTTGCATCATAATACGCCCAATGTTGTTTTATATTAATTGCAGATTGAACCGCATTCGCATTCGCATTAGCATAGCATCGACAAACTTCTTGAGTGTACAAACCCGTCACACATTTTGCTACACATTTGCTATTGGTACAATACAAGGGAAAACAGTTCTTAAATCGTCATCAAAGGAGTCCTTTTTTTGTCGTCATCCGTCACACTCGGTCTGTGCCTAAATCCACTCAAGGCGCATATCGCATACGTCCTTACAGTACATGACGTAAACAATTGAAAAGAACGGCAGTGCGTGGTGTTTTGTTCTAAATTTGGGGGTTGGGCTTCTTTAACGGGTACACGGATACCCTTGTTTTCTTTCAATAGGATATCCAGTTCCGGTATTACCGGTCAATGCACATGACATGCATACTTTGTTCGCGAACTTGAATGACATCCAGCTACATTTAGAATTTAAACTTTGAAAAAGTTGGAAATAATTGGTCGAGAAAATCACAGTTCGAATATGTTTTTAAAGTAACTTTTAAGTAAGATCTACAAATACTTGTAATTATTTGTGTGAATGGTGAACCAACTCCAGTTTTACAATAAGCTTTATTTTAATTGATTCCTTTTTTTACAGCTTCTGTAACTTATTATTGCAGTTCAGATTCTCAATTGCAAAAAAAATCCTGAATCCACCTTTGAATTTTATAAGTGAATGGTTATTAAATACATGTACCTGACTAATTTGGCTCACACATAAAGACATTTTGAAACTCCCCCTTGATTACTTATTGGACGGTCAGTCTTTGTTCAAAATAAGCTAGTCCCCTTTGTCCCTTGACAGTTTTATGAGTTCTAAATTGGAACCTACCCCCCTGCTTTTTAAGATATTTTACAAGGTAAAAAACTGGGGACAGTTGTTATGCAAAATTTACAACTTGTCATATAGGCATGATCTGAATACAAAACACCCCGTTAACAAAATTGTGCATACGAGCTTGTAAATATAAAACAAGCCTCTTTGTTTATTATTCATACAACAAGCCTATTGGTTTATTATTTTGGATATTTTAAAATATTAACTGCTGTCATTGCAATGGTATGAAAAAGTGGTACCTGAAATGTGGTTTGATAAATAGGACAGTTTGTACATTCCGTTGTGTGTACTGTACTCACATACAAAAGCCATAAAAGCCATCATTCTCAAAAAACCTCGGCGCTGCCGAAATAATATTATGTGTATCGATACCGACTGAAGAATCGCACTATAATATAAACCGAAAGCACAATACAAGTAAGTATTCGCCCATGCAAACGAGTATTCGATATGTAAGAATCGAGTATTTTTCAAATAACGAGTCCAACGGTTCTAGGACAACGAAAATAACAATGATTTGAAAGTGCGTTTTTCTCTTTAAATTGCATGTGCATTCGAATAAGATGTATATGAAAATATTTCTGTGTTATAGAGGAGTGTTAGGACTTTGGATTATTTCCTATTAAAAATGATTTTGAAATAAAAATATTTGATGGAAGTTGAAGAGGTAAATTGGTGGATTCCATTTCTTAACCGTAAGAAAAGTTTCCTAAAACTCCACTTTACTATTATCTTGATTGTTCTTGTCTTCGATAAAAGTGTCCTTTTTCGTTCGTCGAACTTCATAAGACGATACCGCAGTGCGTCGTCTGCTAGCGCGGAAAAAAACCCGTTATCGTCTGCAATGTATTGTAGTGCGCATGCGCACTGTCATTCCAGCAACTCAACTTGTTTTCCAGCAACTCAACAGCATACGGAGAGTAGGCCTAAAGTACGGAAGCGTTAAAGGGAACAACAAAAGTCATAATTATCACTTATATCTCATAATTATGACTTAGTATTAAATCATAATTCCGACTTATATCTCATAATTACGACTTTGTAATTGTTAAATCATAATTATGACTTATATATCAAAACTATGACTTATTATTAAGTCATATTTATGACATATGTTATATTATAACTTAGTATTAAGTCATAATTATGAGATATCCTAAGTCGTAATTACGACTTAATACTAAGTTGTAAAACATATACTGAAAATCCGTCAGTAAAAAAGTCTGCACAAGGTGTCAAGTGTCCATAATATAGCCGAGCATGGGATGTTTATTTTTTGTTTCAATCCACTTTAACCCCTATAGTTTGATAAACGAAGTCATCATGGCGAGAGTTCGAGGCAAACTTGTGGTTGTTTTGTGCCTTAGCTGTTCTATTTGCCTTCTTTATGCTGGTTATACTGGTAAGTAAACACCTAGGGCGACTACGATAGTTTTTGATAAAATATAGGATCGTGCATGAATTCATATTCTTTTTTTAAATCAATGTCGTTGATACATCTTGAATTTACCGTCTCACGACACGTTGTTTGAGAAAGGGTAGAAAGAAAAAAAGTCAATGTTCAGTTGATCCCTGGTATATATACATTTTTTAATTTATATAAAATTTAAAAAAGATGCAAATTCGCAGAGCGGGCCAGGGGGTTTTGTCATGATATATTAGTGTATGTTAAAATTCATATCCATTAAACAACCCGTTCTGGGTGCAAAATCACACCAAACAAGTTCCTAGTACCATTTTGTCCAAAGAAATATAAAACGTTTTACAATAACGAGTTAATTTCTTTTAAACAAGCTATAGTTTGCTATGATATTTAATAATGACTATTATTTCGATTAAGACTTATTACATACACACGACAACAATCAACTTAATTATTGACTATGTGTACATTACATACCGTATAGTTTGTTGTGCATTGTCGGTATCCCGTTTGACCAATAAACCTTAGGTGACCCGGAAAACAGTCAGTTTTGACTCGGAGAACCTTCAAATTTTATGTGACCCGGAAACGGACAAGTTTTGACCGGCATAAGGTTAAAATTACAGGTGACCCGGAGAGTGGTTCAATTTTGCCTTGCGGAAGGTTCAAATTATCTGACCCAACACCGGGTCAAATAGGGTAACCATTTCCATGCTCATTATGACTCTGATTGCGTCATAATCAGTGTTAGAGTCGAGTCCTCAAATCCGAATACAGAGTACTTAAGGGGCCGAGTCTAAGTACACTGTGACGAGTCCGAGTCCAAAGCACCCAGTACGAGTACATTCAAGGCCAAGTACTGGGCTGAGTCCTAGTACAATACCACAAAAGTACAAAAAAATAAAAAAAATAATAAAAAATAAAAAAAATTATAGATAAATAAATAACGATAAATAAGTAGGAAATGGAATGGAATGGCATGGGACGGGACGGATGGGACGGAATTGAATCCAATTCAATCCAATCCAATCCAATCCAGTCCAATCCAAATGATGATATATTCAATCATTCATACAACCAAAAAGCTAAGAAAGTCTTGCCACGTGTACGATCGAGGAAATGCTTTGTGATCACTCAAAATATACTTTCTGTAAAATTCCCGAGATTTCCCTAGGCAACAGACATTACATGTCGCTAGGACAAGGATTATGCTTGCGAAAAACCCCGAAATGGTAACCGTGAAGCGGCGAGGGAACACACGAAGCACGGGCTTGGCAGGCTCCCGATTCACGAATCCTTAGTGCTATAACTTTGAATGTTAGTAGCATTGGGAAGGCGGGAACTAGACTAGGTCTTCTGCCCTCACTGCACGTGTACGTACGCAGCTATGCAGAGGCTAAACACTCTCCCAAAATGAGCCAAAAATGGACTGTAGTGAAGTCGACGAATCAGCTGTTTATTGGAAGCGGTGTGAAACAGCAATTTAAATCATACAGAACACATTTTGAGTTTAAACAATAAAGTACAGAAGATTAATGGAGTATTAATTAGTGTGAGGTGATTACATGAACTATCTTAATTGACCACTAATGAAACAGACGAAAATACAGGAAATGGCCCAAGGACTATGACAAGTCTACCCCAATAATCCAAATTCTGAGAATAAAACTGGCTTGAAATACCCCCTTAAATAACAGAGAAATTACAATAAAGATTTCAGACATGTAAAAGTAGACGAATCCCCCCAAATTGACATGAAAGTGGGATGAGAAGGAAAAACCAAACCCTCAAAATGTCCACAAAAAAACATTCAAAATGCACACGAGACCGAACACGTTTATGTACACGCGTCCGTAAATAAACGACACTAACTTTAAGAAATAGCCCCCAAAAACCCACAAAACAGTGATCAAACTAGTAAAGCTTAAACATTACATGATCAGAGAAAGATTACTTACAGATTGTGCTGATTAAGGGGATTGGATTACTGGTAAAACCTGTCGAAATTACTGATTTTCTAGAGTGTAACTGTGAAGAATAACTAATGATCAGAACGCTGGCATGAAAAAATACGAATGAACGGCAGAGGGCGCTAGACAAATTGCAACGGCTGCCGAAGGCAGAACACTCCCCGGCTGGTATCTGAAAGATTCCAAACTAGAAACATCGAAAAGGTTCAACATGTTCAATGTGGGTGTTCAATGTGCAAACAGTTTACTTGGTAAAGTCCTTGTTGAACAGGAGATCGAACGACCTCAGTCACAGGTCGCAAGAACAGTCTCGGTTCTCCATTACGGATGATCCTGACCTCAATCTTCCTGACCTTGCCGTCTTCGCTGGGAAAGGTCTTGGTGATCAACCCGGTGGGCCAGTAATTCCTCTTCACTTGGGTGTCTTTCAGGATGACAACATCTCCTTCTTGCAGGTTTGGTTTCTCTGTTTTGCACGTTCGTCGTGCTTGTAAGTTGCTTAGGTAGTCCCGCTTCCACCTTTTCCAGAACATGTCAGCCAATCTCTGAACACGACGCCACTGACTTCTGAAAAGATCCTTGTCGTCGAAATTACCAGGAGGGACAGAGGGCGTACCAACCTTCTGCGTGAGGAGTGTCGCCGGGGTGAGAATGGACGGGTTGTCGGGATCTGTAGAAACGGGTGCAATGGGCCTTGCATTGATGATTGCAGTCACCTCTGCCATTAGGGTTGTCAGCACCTCGTGGGTTAGCTTCCCTTGTCCTAGTTGGAGAAGCATGGCATCGAGAATGCGACGAGCGATGCCAATCATCCTTTCCCAGCTGCCGCCCATGTGCGAGGCATGTGGAGGATTGAACTGCCAGACACATCCCTTACCGGCAAGGAAGTGCTCGACCGGATCCTTCTGACGTCCTACTGAGTCAATGCCAAGCTCGTTGCAGGCACCAATGAAATTAGTGCCGCAATCAGACCTCAGTAGCTTAGCAGGTCCTCTCAAGGCCAGAAAGCGTCTAAGAGCATTCACGAAGCTGGAGGTGTCCATCGACTCTATTACTTCGATGTGCACAGCCCGCGTAGCCATGCAGGTAAAGATGACGGCCCATCGCTTGTTGTTAGCTTGACCTCCTCTTGTTTTCCGTGCTGTGATGGACCAGGGACCGAACACATCTAGGCCTACATAAGTGAAAGGTGGGTCGATGGTTAGGCGGTCTGCGGGCAAGTCTGCCATAATCTGATCTTGTTGCTTGCCTCTTAGTTTACGACAGGTTACACAGTGATAGATCATGTTGCTGATAACTCGCTTGCCACCAAGAACCCAGTAACCAGCTGCTCTCACAGCACCTTCGGTGAAGTGTCTGCCCTGATGGCGTACTTGGTCATGGTAGTGTCTGATGAGAAGGGTAGTGACATGGCATTTCCCATGGATTACTATTGGGTGTGTTTCGTCAAATGAAAGCTTGGCTTTCTCCAGCCGACCTCCAACACGGAGAAGACCATCTTTGCCAAGAAACGGGTGGAGCTTGATGAGTGAGCTGGACCTGGACACTGGTTGATCATTCTCAAGGCATCTGACCTCATCTGCATATGTCTCCATCTGAAGAAAACGGAGGATAGTTGCCTTTGCTTGGTTTTGCTGGTCTGGCCGTAGATGTTCCTTACAAAGATGCCATCCACGACAGGTGCTGCCTTCGTCCTGAAGAAAGGATAGGGCAATATGTGAGAGTCTCGATATGGCATTGAGCAGGGACTTCCAAGTTGAGAAACGCTTGAAGCGGTCACAACCCAAGTTTGCATCAGTCACGGCCGTGGCACAGCTGGTCACCTGGGGACTCACTTCTGCATCACTTTGGGGATCAATCAGATTGAAGGTCTCCTCATGTAGTTGCCCATGTCCAGCATCGGAGAGGAATGCAGGCCCACTGAGCCATGATGAAGAAGATAAGACACTCGCAGGTAGTGCCCTGGTGGCATGGTCAGCAGGGTTAAGGTCTGTCGGCACATAGTTCCACTGTGTCGCACGTGTAGAACGTTTGATGCGCTGCACTCGGTTGTGGATGTATACGTAAAACCTTCTTGTTTCATTGTAGATGTAGCCAAGTACTACCTTGCTATCAGTGAAGAAAGTGACTGCATCTGGGTGCATATCTAACTCGTCTTGCACTACCTCTGCAATTTCTACAGCCATGACAGCTGCCCCGAGTTCCAAACGAGGGATAGTGGGTTCAGGCTTTGGAGCAAGCCTTGCCTTGCCGTGGATGAATCCTACTTCGCATTGGCCCGCTGCATTAGTGACTCTCAGGTAGGCAACAGCGCCGATTGCTTTGGTTGAGGCATCACAGAAAATGCATATCTCTCGTTTCTTGGCTTGAGACAACGGAAGGGTTGTGTACATCCTGGGGATCTTGAGCTCCTGAAGATCTTGAAGGGAATCCCTCCATCTCATCCATTCCACGTAGTTCTCTTCGGGGAGGGGCGTGTCCCAGTCACAGGCATAACAGCTGAGTTCCCGCAGGATGAAGCGCCCTTGAATAGTTACAGGTGCAGCAAATCCAAGGGGATCGAACAAGCTGTTGATGGTGGACAATACCCCGCGTCTGGTGAATGGCTTGCTGCTGGTTGTCACTTTGAAAGTGAACGTGTCTGCGGATAAGTCCCACTGAAGGCCTAAGCTTCGCTGCATCGGAGGGGGGTCCTGTCCGAGGTCTAAGGTCTGGAGCCCTTTGGCAAGGTCTTCACCAGGGAAGGCTTTCATGACGTCTGCGTTGTTGGATGCGATTTTGTGAAGCCGAAGGTTGGACTGGGATAGCATGTCTTGTGTTCTCTTGAGCACATCAACAGCTTCGCTTACTTTAGGGAACGACTTTAGCCCATCGTCGACATAGAAATGTCGTTCGACGAAACATCTTGCATCGTCTCCGAACTCCTTCTCTCCCTCAGCGGCCGTTCTCTTGAGTCCGTAGATTGCTACAGCTGGTGACAGGCAATTGCCGAACACATGGACCCTCATGCGGAAGTCAAGTACTTCTCCATTGAGGTTGTGGTCCTTGAACCAAAGGAAGCGGAGATAGTCACGGTGCTCCTCCTTGACCAGAAAGCTGTGAAACATCTGCTGTATATCACCCATAACAGCTATGGGTTCAGGCCGAAAGCGGATGAGGACACCCAGCAGGCTGTTGTTGAGATCTGGACCTCTGAGCAGTACATCGTTGAGAGATATGTTGTCATGTTTGGAGCTGGAGTCGAACACGATCCTTATTTGTCCCAGCTTTTGGGGGTGATAAACACCGAAGCTTGGTAGGTACCAACATTCTTGGTCTGGCTGGAGTGGGGGAGCTAGCTCTGCATTGTCGTTGGTAAAGATCTTCTTCATGAAGTCTAAGTAGTGGTTCTTCATCTCGGGTTTCTTCAGTAACATCCGACGAAGAGACATGAGGCGGTTCACGACTTGTTGTCGGCTTAGGGTAGACGCCGTCCAGGAGAACGAAATGGGAGCGGGGCCACCCAACTGTTACCATCATCCTTGACAAATGCATCGTTCATGATGGAGAGGAAGGTCTCGTCTTCAATCGATAATGCCTTTTTGTAGTCTTCTGGACTTTCCCTGAAGATGTCAGAACTGATGTTGTTTGGTTGGTGCATCTCTGAAGCATGCCATGGGGTCTTGTTAGTGAATGTCTCCTTCACATGGATCCTGCTTTCGCATGGCGTCAGATAACTGGGGCGTCCGTTGTCAAGAATGCTGGTCTTGTAGGCGTTGACAGCAGGTTTGTGTGCTCCGCCGAGGCACACATCCCCCACTATCACCCAGCCTAAGACCAGGCGTTGAGCATACGGTGCGTTGTGAGGTCCATTACACTGACTAAGAACCTTGTGGACCTGTATGATGTCCCTGCCTAGCAACAGGACGATTTCAGCTGAGGGATCGAGTGGTGGGATCTTGTGGGCGATGGTCTCCAGATGAGGATGATGCTTTGCGGCTTCGGGAGTTGGAATTTCGTCTCGGTTGTTTGGGATGAAGTCACACTCGATGAGTGGCGGTAATGACAGCTGGACTTTGCCATTTACTGATTGAATTGTGAAGCCACTTGCTCTTCTTCCCTGTGCACCTGTTGTGCCTGAACAGGTGCGTAGTATGTAGGGGGAGATGTCTCCGCAGATACCAAATATGTTAAAGAAGGTTGATCTGGCAAGTGAGTGATTACTTTGGTCGTCCAACATCACATACACCTTCCTCATCTGTTCAGGTTGCCCTTCTGGAAACACATTGGCCAGGCATATCTTGGAGCATGATTTTCCCTGCATTCCTTCTCCACATACCTCCGTGCAGTTTGGGGCAGCCACAGTCGGTTCTGTACCGACTAGCTCCCCGCCATGATTTTCTGCGGATGAGGGATCCTTCGTTGTCCATGGGGGTGGCCCAGCATGGAGGGCGGACACATGACGGTCACTGCCGCACTCTGAACAGCGAATATCGACCTTGCAATCTTTGGCCTGGTGGGCAGTAGACGCACAGCATCTATAGCATATAGCATGTTCTTTCAAGAATGCCTTTCTCTCTTCTAGTGGTTGTCTTCGGAACCATCGACATTTTCTGAGGGAGTGGGGCTTCTTGTGAATAGGACACTGCTTATCTGGTTCCATCTGCTTATTGGAGTCAGATGATGGGGTCGCTGGTGTTCTCACTACAGTCTTGTGCACAGTGATTGAGGACTTGGGCTTGAACCGGTTTGGTGAGGGCTTCTCAGCAGCAATTGTTGTCGCATTGGAGGGTTGGAGCACAAAGCTTGGATCAGTTCGCATCTCAGCCTGTGAGTACACGAAGTTGACGAAGAAAGAAAAGGGTGGGAACGGCACCCGATGTGTCTTCTTGTACGTCGAGCCTTGTGTCAGCCACTTCTCTTGAAGATAGTGAGGGAGCTTCTCTACTATTGGATTTGTCCCTCTAGCAGTGTCCAAGTAGCTAAGACCTGGTAGCTTGTCTTCAAGCTTTGCTGCCTTCACTTCTGCGAGAAGATCTGCAAGCTCCTGTAGTCTCAGATAGTCTCTTTTTCCAATCTTAGGAAATTTCTCTAAACGCGAGAAGAGAGACGTCTTGATGGCTTCTAGAGATCCATATTTCTTATCCAACCTTTGCCACACCATGTCCAGGCCTGCCGATGGATTGTTTATGTGGACCGCTCTGATTCTCATAGCGTGCTGCTGTGACTCTCCACCAAGCCACTTGGTAAGTAGATCCAGTTCCTCACTGGGTTTGAAGTTTAGTCCTCGTGTGACATTGCGGTAACTGGCCTTCCAAGACAAGTAATTTTCTGGCCGGTTGTCAAAAACCTTGAGTCCGGCTGAGAGGAGGTCTCGACGAGCGAGGTGTGCTGTGAGATCAGAGATGTCTGAAAGTCCGGGGAGGTTCCGTTTTGGTCCACTGTTGTAACCGTACATGTTGTTGTTGTGTTTATGGGTCCTTTCAAACCAGTAAATAATGGAACGAACTCACCGAGTCTTCACAGGAACTCGTGGCATGGGCGCCGCCATTTTAATACACACTGTAACTCATGGAACGTGTAGTTGGTGTCCCTCACAGAACGTATCATAATGCATGGACATACGACATCTCCCCCCTTTAAGCTGTCAACAAACAAAACTGGTTAAACACATTAACAATGAACAATAGTTAACAGTAAATAAATGGCAATGCTTTTTGGCATTAAAACATATGTTGTGAATGCTGCTGTGAAAGTGTGTTCAGTTAAGGTTGTTTAGGTCTGAAATTATGTGAGATTATTCAAGTGCCAAAATCCTGAAATTGTCCAGATTTGTGAGCAATCTAGAGTTCAGTTCTGTGGAGTTTAGAGTTCAATGTTCCAGTTTAGTGCCAGGTTTAGTACACCACATAATCCTGGTGCCAGCGTGGAGGTTTTCCTGTGCGTCGTGGTCTGACTGTTGTTGTTGGCTTGGGATTCTGTGGGTGAATTGGGTCAGGTGGGGTCTGGACTTCAAGAACTGGTTCTGGTTCTGGGATAAGCAGCAAGTGGCGACGGTTACGACGATACTCGACGCCCTGAACGTTGACAATGTAGGAGCGTGGGGGACCTGCTTTTCGAACCACCTCACCCAACGGACTCAGATGTGTTTTGTTGCGGATCCGCACCGTGTCACCTGGTTTCAGCTCACACAGATGACGGACGCCATGCTTCTCGTTGAAGTAAGACTCGCTCTTGGCCTTACGTTGCTTGTCGGCTGCCTTCAACTGGTGCGTGTTGATCACCTTGGGACGGAGATTGCGAGGGAGTGTTGGCAATGTTGTGCGTAGTTCGCGACCCATCAGCAGGCGTGCAGGACTAAGGTTGAGGCCCGGGATTGGTGTGGATCGGTAGGTCAGCAATGCTCGCAGAGGATCAGGCTGCCGGAGCATGGATTTAGCAATGTGGACTGCTTTCTCGGCCATTCCATTCGCCTGAGGGTAGTTTGGGCTAGATGTGAGATGTTGGATGTCATACTCACTTGCAAATTGGTTGAACTCGGTCAGGAACTGTGGCCCATTATCGGTGACGATAACCTCAGGAATGCCAAAACGGGCGAAAGTGGCCTTCAAAAAGTTAATGACGGCCAACGACGTTGTTGTCGGGAGATGATGGACCTCAATCCATCGCGAAAAGTAGTCGACTAGGACTATGTAGTGTCTCCCATTGACCTCTGCCAGATCACAGGCAAGACGTTGCCAAGGTCGTTCAGGAAGCGGAGTCGAGATTAGAGGTTCCGCTCGCTGTGCTGACTGCTTGGTCTGACAGAAGGAGCATTTCTCTATGTACTGGGCAATGTCGCTCCCAATACCTGGCCACCAAACGGCTTGAGCAGCTCGGGCTCTGGACTTTGATATTCCCTGGTGACCTTCGTGGATCCTCAACAGCATCTCTTGGCGCATATTTGCCGGGATGACGATGCGGTCGCCATGGGTGAGGATCCCCTGGACGAAGCTGAGGTTGTCTTGGTTCTCCCAGTAGAGCTTCACTGTTGTTGATTCAATGTCGCGGGAGTACTTTGGCCAGCCACTGCGAATGTGTGATGCGACTTGCACCAGCACTTCATCGAGGGCAGTTTCACGTTTGATCTCGTCCAATTTCCCCTGGGAGACTGGCCAGTGGCTTGTGACCATATGGACATGTGCTTCAACTTCGTCTGGAAGGTTGTCCCTTTCAGTGACCGATGACTTCAAGGGTGCGCGAGACAGGGTATCGGCCACAGTGAGGAGTTTGCCAGGTACGTACTCTGCAGTGCAGTGGTACTTCATGAGACGCATAAGAAGTCGTTGACACCTCAGCGGAGCGTCACACAGATCCTTATTGTTGATGAGTGGAACCAGCGGTTTATGGTCAGTCTGTATGGTGACGTGAAGGCCTCGAAGGTATACGTAAAACCTTTCGCACGACCACACCGAGGCCAACAGCTCTTTCTCTATCTGCGCGTAGCGTCGTTCAGATGGAGTGAGGCTTCTTGAACAGTACGCCACTGGCTTCCACTGTTTGTCATCTTGTTGCTGCAGAATACATCCACCCAGTCCGTATTCGCTTGCATCAGCGCTAACCATGGTCGGCTTATTTGGATCATAGAAAGCGAGTGCAGGAGCTGATGTGAGGAGTGTCTTAATGCTGCGAAAAGCTGACTGCTGTGGTGATCCCCACACCCAGCTGACATCACTCTTCAGTAGGTCATTAATTGGTGCAGCGACTGAAGAGACATGGGGAATGAATCGCGCAAGCCAGTTGATCATCCCCATTAGTCGTTTGACTTCGGTTTTGGTGGTTGGCGGTGGCATTTGGATGATCGCTGCTATCTTTGCAGGGTCGGCATGGATGCCGTCTTTATCGAGCTTCATGCCGAAGAAGTCGACCTTTGTTTGGGCGATTTTGCATTTGTCCTTGTTCAGCTGTAGTCCAGCGTTCTGCACAATTTCGAGAATGCGCTGGAGTCTTTCATCGTGTTCTTCTTTTGTGCGACCGGTGATCAGTACGTCGTCCATGTACACCACGACCCCGGGTATGTCGGTTAGAAGGTCGCACATGATGCGTTGATATATTTCTGGTGCCGATGTGATGCCAAATGGAAGGCGTTTAAAGCAGTAACGCCCGAATGGTGTAATGAAGGTAGTGAACTTCTGGCTTTCCTCTGTCAGTGGTACTTGCCAGAAGCCATGCTTGGCATCTAGCAGGGAGAATATCTGGGCGCCAGCGACTTTGCCGAGGACTTCTTCGACGGTTGGTATGGTATACCTCTCCCTGACAACTGCTTTGTTCAGTCGTCTGAGGTCTACGCATAGGCGAATGTCACCATTCTTTTTCGGCGCTATCACAATAGGCGAGCACCAATCTGTGGGGTCAGTGATACGCTGAATGATGTTCTGTTGCTCCATCCTCTCCAGCTCCTCTTTCAGTTTGG